AAGCGAGTGCTCTACCAACACAAGATAAAGGTTTAACCAACAAGCAGTTATTAGTATAACACGTTTTAACGATTCAAACTATTATTCGTGAACAATGCACATCTCAGAAACTGCAATACAAAAAGGTTGAAAAGCATCTCGACTTACATCTCAGTCGAAAATATGCGTATTAAATCATAACCAGTTATCTTCCCTGTTTGTAGTGTTTATGTTATTTATTTTTCTATTATACTTATCAAAGTTCTTTAAGTGATACGTTTGTAACTTTTCTTGCTTCTCCTTGATAAACCCAATATTTTTATTTTTCAGGATAATGCGAAAAGATCTCCCTTTTATATTATGGCCGAGCATAACTATAAAGTTATTAGCACGCCATACTGCATATAGGAACATCAAAGGTTTGTTTGTTTGATGTTAACCACAATACTACAAAATGGGCTCTAAAGCGTTAGAAGCCTTCAGACTTACAGCTGAGCCACTGGGGAGTGGGAACATGATCAAATATAAGCTGAGTTACGATAAGACGGCGAATGCTGCTAGCTGATTGTCCTCCCTCAGGATAGAACTTTTAAATACTTAAAATATCAAATGAACTAGAAATACCGAAATTCACTAGTTCTTTTGAATGATAGTAAATTCAAATGAAATAATGATTAAATACAAAATGATAAAAACCCAATAACTCAAGTTATTGAACCTACGTGTTTTTCTGACATCATGAAAAATAATTAAATAAATACATAGTGTCAAATATAAAAACATATAACGTTTGTTATTAATACGTACCCTATAAATCTGATTTGTAAATGATTTAAATAAAATTGATAAATATATAGTCCAAACCATTACTATGTTTGTCGTATCTCAGTCGGCCTGATGAGCCCTTGTACTAGATGAAAGGCCTCGTTGGCATTAAAGGTAGAGTGGTTAACATATTATCTTTCGCTTTCACCCATGATTTCTTAGAATTACAAGTTAATTACACGTGACTGTACATATAACTTTACGCCCACATTTTTACCTTAATCTAACCTTACCCTTTGAATAAGTAACTTTATCTCATTTTCCAGTTTATTTCAACCATCATTTATGTTATCAACAACAAATGTTTTTAATAAATACGTTAGGGTTCTTCGTGAGACACTTTTGGTAAAATTTCAAGGTATACTCTATACGTTTCATTCTGTTGTGCACTTTGATTCGAGTTCCATTAAGTTTCAGACGTGTCCCTATTGCCAAAATTTAACTCAATAAAAACAATTTGTTTTAGAACAAAGAAAGGGAAGCCTCACTCCCCTTGTTCCAACAATTATGTCCAAAGAGCGTTATCCACTCGCCAAAATTGTCTTGATTACAGAGCTTCGGCACGATACAGATAGTAAAATTTAAGGGCGACTGTGATAGGCTGACTTACCTTTTACCATCTACTTATCCTCAGAAGATTGCAATGCTTTCAACTCAACCTTTTTCGAATTGCATGTGCTTGCAATAATGTTGTTTTTGCGGCGATTCTGTTCTTCCCAATGTATTAAATCAAGATGTGATATCTGGAATGTCTTAACAACTGCGGCATATTTACTTCATCGTTGGCAATGCCTTAAATTAACCTCTTATTAAGAACTTAGCTATGTTTATTGGATCTTTGTTATTTATACTACAACAGAATAAAAATACACCCCGAAATCATGAAGAATACCAGAATAAGTTTGTTGTTTTCATTTCAGTTAAAAATGTCAAATGCTTACATTCTCATGAAACTTCCTTGTTCTCTGTTTTAAAAAGATGGTGGTTACGACGCTCGACTCTCAATCTACGGATCACGGAATCGCAACCCAGCGCAGAACACGTTTGCCCTTTCAGCCTTAGGGGCGTTATAATATAAGTGTCAATCCTACTATTCGTTGGTAAAGAGTAGCCCAAGAGTTGGCGGTGAGTGCTGCTGGCCGGTTGCCTTCCTCCTGGTTGGCATTTCAAAATTAAAAATGGCAGCTGATAGTCTTAATAGCTTTCTCTTAAAGAAACTGTTTTAAAAGAGGGGGAATTCATTTGTCAATAACGTTATTGAGATACGAAATTTTTGTTAAATCTTCAGTATTATAAATGTCGGTATCTACAAAAAAATTCTACTTTACATTGACTTTCCCATATAAAGCATGTCAGTGATGGAATTTCTTTAACGTAGCAGATTCAAATTTCAGTCATAATAGCTGTTTTCTGTATTCATTTCAAAACTAAAGGAATTAGCAAAATGAAATGTACCTTATGCTTAAGAAGCCAAGTATTTTGAGTAACGCTTCAAAGTTTCACCCAATGTAACCATATTCATATCGTAAAATTTACTGTTTAGACCACTAGATAACGCCTAGTTAAACTTCTTCAAGGAGTTTTCTCTCTAAAAATTTAATCCTACAGATTATGTTGCAAGAATGACTCAAGCTTGTAAATAATTACTCCAAAATATGTAAAAAAAAAACTTTAATATCATTAGCTACAACATATTTGAAGTTTCCGAGTAAGAAAAATAGTAACGACATTAAATGTAAATATTAATGGTAATAGGTTTGTTTGTTTGTTTTTAATTATGCACAAAGCTACACAAGGGCTATCTGTGCTCTGCCCACCACGGGTATCGAAACCCGGTTTCTAGCGTTTTAAGTCCGCAGACATACCGCTGTGCCACTGGGGGGCTGGTAATAGGTGACGGTATTGTTTAATGATCGTCTCTACTTTCTCTCCTTTTTTATTTTAGCTGTAACGTCTGGTAACATACACAAATTCTCTTGTCTTAGGTACGTTTCTTCTACAGAAGCTTGAGTACGTTATATTAAAACGATTTTGAATATGCGAGTAAACAATAAACGTTATAACCATGGCCGAAATAAAGTCATGGTGGAACAAAATGCATCAGAACCACATTTTGACATTGTTTGACGATACGTAAGTATTGTGATGAGATCGAAAATTTTTCGTTTTGGGGAAAGGTATATAACATGCCTCTCCAAACACAAAATATTCACGAATTCATATAGGAAAGATGTGTTCAGATCAGGGATTTAGAATTTCCAATATATGGATATCTCCCGTACTAAAAGATATTTGAAAACGAAAAAAATAAGAATGAACTTGGGCCAAAATTATGATCCAGAAAGGTCCCTGCAATATGTTGTATTCTAACCGTGGTAAGCAAAGTATTTTAACAGGTGAGAAACCACGAACAAAAACATAAGTGACAAAATCGACTCACGTGCTCTAAGCAACATAATCAAAAGTTAAGGCTTCCAGTCACACCTCAAGCAGCAGTAAGGAGTGGTGTGCTTTGAACAAAACAGCCTAACAATGGAGCTTTAAACGGAAATGACGCTGCAAGGCTATTGTCAAGATGCAACATCATAAGATATAGCATGATTAATCGTAGCACACGGACTGTAACAACATGGTGAGGCCCTAAATTATTCTAATATAGTGATTTCCCAACCTCTGTATTATTTAATAGTTTAACTTATGTGCCAGAAAAAAATATTGGATTTTCATAGGAGTGCTAATAGCTGCCTATACCTACACCATGACCTTAATTCTGACTTAGTAGTTGCCAAGTAAACACCCATTCATGACTGTACTGTTTGTCTTTTTATCACACTTATTTCAATTAAATATCAAGGTTCATTGAGTGAGGCTTTTGTAATTTTCTCTTTCTACTCCATAACAAACCAATTTTATTTATCAGGATAATTAGAAAAAACCTCAACCAAACTCAGAATAAGTATATATTTAACAAATCCATTAGCTCTAAAGTACTAGTTTATTAACAATTAAACATCGTGCAAATGCTCAATGTATCATTAAAATAACTAAACTTTGTTTTGCATGGCCACTTTATTAAAGACCCCTCCAAACGAATTTAGAACATTCCATGTACTATAATATGCAAAACACACTACCAACGTGATGAGTCAGCAGATTACTTGAATCATATAATTGCAGATATAGTCATATATTTTTACATAGTCAGCAAGACAATGGTTATGAGGAAGAATCTCAACTTTCAAAAAGGTACGATAGTAAATGCCCACTTGACAAGAAAGTTATTTTCAAAGATCACTTTTTTTTTGCTGTTCAAAGACATCTGTCATTAGTCTATCAACACTGGCAAATGACGAGGTTTATATATACCACTAAAAAAAATTGTCTACAAACCTCTAGTGGCAGACCAAATGAAAAATAATTGGATAAGCTTGTAAAGTGCAAAAGATGTCAGACCATGTCTAAAACACCTGTCATGTTGCAGCTGAAAACCAGTCCAAAATATAAAAACGGAAAACCTGGTTTCAAGGCTGCTTAAAGTGCAAAATGTGGATGACAATCATTGGAAGTGATTTGGTCTGATAAGTCTCATTAAACTTTTTTTATGTACTGCTGGGAAAGACTGTATTGGTTAAGAAAATAACAATAGGGTCTTTACCACGCCTATATTGTTTCAATGATGCAAAACACTGGAGGTGGTTTAATGGTATGGAAATTGTTATTATTTACTAGCAAGTGAGTAGAGTCATTTTTCTCGGGAAATAAACTCACTGGAACTTAATCTGATTGCACTTTTGGGGTAAACTTTAACTGTTGCATTATCACTGTAATAATTTGCCCATGTTCTTGAACCAACTGTACACTGCACTCCTCAATGAGCATAGCCATCCTTTCAGCATCTTATGAAGTTTATGCCACAATGAATTTAAGCCATTGTTCCAGTAACAGTTGGTTCAACCCAATATTAGTGGGGGTCATAATAAAGTGTCCAGTTAGTCTGACTGTCCATCAATTATTTAGATTAGAGTAATATCTAGTTGCAAAGATTAATTTTTTTTTTTAAGATTAAATCCTGTAAGCCACTTTGTATGCTATAATTTTGCATTTGTGAAAATAAAGACAAAACAAAAATACAGATATAGTTCTTCTCTTACACTACAGTATCAATGTCATATGGCATGAAATAATCACAAGCAGTATATTTGAAATCATACAGGAAGTAAGGAAATATTTTATTTTGTTGAATTTTTGATACTACAAACAAGTTTTGAAATGAAAAAGCAATTTAGTGACCAAATCTTGCTAAATCTAAGCCCATCCACTTCAGAACATTTTTTTTACACTCTAAGATATTCTGCACTGTAACAACCACTGAAATGTTTATAATTAAATTTTCCTAACCATTAAAAAAAAAGAAAGAACATAATTATGCCCCTAAAAGTGGATTTAGAGTCTAATATTAACTTGTACTTAAATCAATGAAAAACATATTTCTGCATGACTAAATGTTGGATTGTATTACATTTCAGAATCTCTGATAAATTGAAACCAACATATTTATGAACAAACTTTCCCCAAACCATCAAACAAATCTCTGATGGTACTCCAAGGAATAACGGGTTACTTGCACCAACAGTAATGCCAGTAAATGATGCATTAACTTCTACTATTTATAAATTAACTAGTTTATTAGTAGTTGGAGGAAAACTAATACTTAAGACTTCTGTTTATTTTCTACCCAATTCTTGAAAAGGGGAAAAATGCCCTTTTAATAAAAAAAAAACATTTTCCACTGCATAGTGGTATCCTTTAAAGAGGTACCACATTTTGTAAATAACAACTTAGAACAATGAGACAAAACAAAACTCTCTTGCTATACATGTCAAGTGAACCTACTGTTTTTGTTAAATTCAATGTAGATTTATAATAATAGCATGCATATCCCAAATGCATGTTTACAAGTAGTACATTTCTACTCCAATTTCAATTACTATCAGTCTTATCTTTGAAATAAAAGAAACAAATTTGCTATTAAGAAATGCTGAAAGCCAACAGAGCTATTAGACATCACTATGTTTGCCAATTTATGATTCATGTTGAAAATTAAAAAAGGCAAGTTTTTACGTATAGGCACTGACTGAAGTTTGACTTAGAATTTTTCATTAGCACACACACACACACAAAACCATAGTGGAATAGCACAAAGATAAATGAAAGTTTTTCCCTTTTAGTATTGAAACCTGATTATTTTAAATATAACAGTGAGCTCTTCAGTCATATGTAATTTTTCCCTCACAAGAGTACAAGTGAAATTATTTGTTTGCTGAACTTTTGAAAGAAAACAATCCATTTGGTCATCTGTAAATAAAAGATAGAGTAAACTGTAAAGTTAGGTCACCAGTTATAGCATCTAGCATGAGACTGAAAGCTAAGGTACTGATCAAAACTGCCTTTAATGGTACTAAAAAAAGAAGCAGCAAAAACTATTGAAAAACCAGTGGTATGATTTACTTGCAAAGCAAGTTCTATTCTGCAAGTCCATAAAAGGGCAACAGCTTCCAACCCAGCTCCTGTGTCATATTTTGAAGTAACTACTCAAGAGTCTCTGTCTCTTTTCTTGAATGCTTGTATTTTTATCCCTCAGGGATAAAGTATATTTCCAGAAACTGTACTGCAATTGGTAATATAAACCTTGTTTGCCTGATGACAGGCTCAATCACAGGCCACTGGAATGGAGCTGGGTCAAAATGTCTTTGCTCCAGCCTTGTACGGAAGCCAATATTTCTAGATAATTATAATAAACAGGCTTGGGTTATTCTTCTTTAGTCAGTCCATCAACATGATTGGTTATCCCCCCATCTCCTGCTATGCAGACCTGAGGCACAAGATTTTCATCTTCCTTCTGTAGTTCAGGACGGAAAGCTGTAGCAATGGGGAACAACTCATTACATCTGGAGATGAACTTAGAAACTTCTTCCTCACAAAGTCCTAGTTCACCTTCTCTGATAGCATATAATACCTCAGTACAAGTCTATAGCCAGAAAAACAAAAAAAGTTTTTAGTGTATAAAATTACATCACCTGCTTGAAAGAATTGCTCTTATAAAATAAAACAAAATAAAGAAATTCTTGTTTTACACCGTTTCTGTTGCAGAAAAAAACAAAAGATCCTACCTCAATGTTCAGACCCTTAATATTTTTGGAAAATGTAGTCACTAATTCTAGCACTCTTGATTCGGCTGATTTGTCTAGGAAATACAACATTCGAGCACCTACAGAAAACCAAAAATTAACGCTAATAAATGAATAATTAATTATGAAACATAAATTCAAATACCCAACAAGATCTTAAATACATAGAATATAATGATACATAAAAAATAATTTGACACATTTGTTAGTACTTAATACCACAATATCTTCACAATTAATACAAGATTTAAAATCTTTATGTAAGACAATCTCTCGCAAAGTGAAAACCTATGCTAAATAAAACTGTGTAGTTATCAGTTCTAGGAAGCATTTAACTAGTACATATTTAAAACAGTTTAGATTAATATTACTTTAAATCACAGTGTACACAAGAACATCAAACAACTAGGAAAATAAAGCTATCATTAAGAAAATCATTACAAATTTTTTATTCACACAATATCACTGATCCTTTTATTATCTCTTCTTAAACAAGTCTTTTGGTTATTTTTTAAGATTTCAAATATGAAAAAATCTACCTACTAGCCTTGTTTATGCCATAAGTATAACAAAATAACATATAATTAACATCCTTAAATAAAACAAAATAACTGAGCAATATACAAAAGACCAAGACAAGAATAACAGCAAATGTCAGAATGATCTTTGTAACTCCAAGTATCCCTACAAGAAATGAAGTTTACTTCACGCATTATAGAATATGTAATAAGAATAAAACAAAACCATATACACAAAAACATTTCTTAAATAGTCTAAATTCACCTCTTGTACCTTATTCATAGCAGCATATCATTCTGCTCACATAGGTTTCTTGAGATTTGATCCTCATATTTCAGCCCTTCTTCAACTTTTATTGCTTAGATACTTTGATATGTCATGATGTACTATGTGAAAATGTTTTTATATAAAAAAATGAGATACTTTAATACTATCTCCGATAATAATTTTTGGTCACTGATCTTTTCAATCGTCTTTTCTAGCTATGGGAAGTGTGCTACAATCCAGTTAAGTTCTCTATTGGTTAAAATTAGCACATCTACTTTCAATATCTTTAAAACAAGTCAATAAATCTAATTTTATGCATGCTTCAAGAAAACCAACTTATATTTAGGAAATAAATTATATGATAATTTTAATGCATCACTTTCTTGAAATTTAATCAAAAGTTTTGACAAGTTTTTGGTCATTGAGATATGTATAAATATATCAAAATCTGTGTGTGAGTGCACATGTATTGTTGTAATGTATTCTATTATTGGATGGGAATTTTTGGTAAAAATTACGAAAAGCCCACTCCACCTGACATTACCAAACTAGTTTGTTTCTTCTGTAACATCTGCTGCAGTCTACATTCACTTTGATGCAAGTTATAGGACTAAGTTCAGAAACAAATTTTTAAGATCCCGGTCAGCGAGAAACCCATTCTTGGTGCTGCCGTGCACAATAGGTGTTGAATGGTCTAAAAAGGCAAGAGCAACTTTCAGAATGTAAAAATATTTTCTGGTTACGAAGAAATAGGTGAAAATGATCAGCTACCTCCCCATTTCCCAGAAAATTAATGGACAGATTCGGAATGCTTTGATTTTAGCAAATAACAGTTATTTTAGTTCCAATGATGTTATTAATCAATTTCAATACATAATTAGTGAGAATAAACATGTTTATAGTTTTCTTCTAGTATGTTTTCAATCTTAATGTCCAAATCTTGTAAAAAAACACTCTCTTCAGCACACAATTCCATTCTGTTCTTCCTCTTGCTCTAGGTTCTCTGCTTCTTCCTGACTTCTTTGCTGAAGCAAAGCACCTTCCTTCTGCAGTAGATCATGATTGTTGATCAAGGGACTTTGCAAGCATACTTTGAGCAACCGTGGAAACCATTGTATTAGCCAAAAGACCAAATTGAATAATATTTTTCTCCAGCTTATTCCTATCATCCATTCATTTTGGATCTTTAAGCAATCCCTGCAACATTTCTGGATCAGATGGACACACTAACTTTAGAACTCCATTATGCACAAGATGACACAGTTGTAAAGCTCTCAATCGTGTTCTCCCAGGCTTCTCTCTTTGGTACCATTCTTTGGAAAAATCATTGAGTGAGATCTGCTCAATGTTCAAGATCGCAAAATTTCACTTCAATTTCTCAAGATTGGTGAATGCACTATCGGAAAAACCTATTCCATCATTAGAGGATGATTCATCATCTGAGCTGCCATATAATCCATCAACGAGCCTCTCTCGACTAGCTCTCCTTAGTGCTGATTGTCTGGTCATCCCCCCCCCTTTTTTTTTACTGGCTTTTGGACCTTTTGCACTACTCCACATCTACTTTGGGGGATAATATGGCAATGTTTTGCTGTACATATAGCTGGAGGATCACAACGTAAACACATTTCACAGCTTTTGCAGCTTCCTTTCTTTTTATATTTATGTTCTTCACATGGTCTTGGACTTCAGTCATACTTATGCCACGCAAAAATGGAAAACTGATTTCAAAACAGTGGAATCTTTTACATATGGCAGTGTTATCCAGTTTTTATGGTATTCTTCCATGCAAAAAATGATTCTCAAAATTTAAATTTTTTTTTGAGAACACTGTAATTTTGGGTGGGTTTCTGACTGATAGGGATTTTAAACATATATTCTGAAACTACCGTAGATGTAATACACTAATAATATTTAACAGAAATTTTCTTGATAACAAACCTGATTAACCTTCTCCAGACAGGTCAAGGGTAAAAGGCCATGTCATCTTGTTTGTTGATTCAAATTCAAAATTTTATTGAACTACTATTTCATGAATTTATGTCAATAAGTTTTCTATTTGCTTAGATATCACTCATGTACTGAATTAAATACAGTGGTCCCGCTCACCTCTTTCCATTTTTGGAAACAGTTCCTCATATACACTTACTTCAATATGTCATGTGAATAACCAATCAAATACTCAGAATGTCCCTCTAGTGGTCTTTCTCAGCCATTTGCATGTGTTAGGACACCACATCATTCTTTCAACCGAAGGTTTCAAGAAGGTAGGTTGTGTCTAGTTTGCTCGAAATTTCATATTTTTTTAGACTTAAATACAGCTTAGTTACTAGGCTTGATAAATTATAGTGGAATTATATGGTATAGATATAGTAATTTATGATTTTTTGGTTATTCAACTGTATATATATGTGTGTGAAATTTTAAAAGGCTTAACAACCTATGTCAAGCCACAACCAAGTACAAAGGACAACTAGATGAGATAATTGTTTGCTTGACTTCTTTATTTACTGTTCTATGTTTTAAGAAAAATAAGTTTAAGAACCTATTTCTAAACAGTAATAATCTATATACATATATAATGTATAATAATGGAAATGTAACTGTATTTTACAAAGTACTAGTTTACTAAAAGACAGGTCACTTTGTAAAGAATAAAGGTCAGTCTTATATTATTGGATACGGTAACATGAGTCCACGTGTGCTGCGTCATTGTAACTTCTGTATTGTTAGCCAGGCACGGCTGAAAGGTCAATATAATAAAAATAATAAATATAAATGTCCAATGTTATGAGATTTAAGCTATTTAGTATAAACATTTATGTTTTTCATGTTATAATTTTGTCGTCATTCTAGAACAAAAGAAGCATAATTTATATTTATTTCCTAATTTTTTTATGGTGGTTACAAGATCTGTCAAATCTACCGAACCCATACAGAGATTCATTAGAGAAAATAACAGATAAAATATAAAAAATTGTTAAGAAAAGTTTGATAACTATCCAGACTATCCCGTAGTACTGTCCTGTACTACTTAATAGTAGTTCAATAAAATTTTGAATGCGAGTCAAATAACAAGATGACATGGCCTTTCACCTGTGACCCGTCACGAAAGGGTTAACAGAAGCGTAACTCTTTCTTAATAACTACTCAATTCCTTCACTAAATATTCAATCATTGAACTAACTGTTTCTTCATTACTTATTGCTTGTATAACTAATGTACCAATCTAGATATTAGTCGACTTTTCTCTATTATTACTTCATTATCACAGTGGTTTTCTCTAGCAATGATCTAAATTAAAACACTGAAAATACAACTCACAACAATATATAGATATATCCTTAATAAAGATCCAGCTAGCACTTCATACACAAAGAGTACAGGTAACTTTCTTTAAGAATCTCTAGTATCTGCTGTATAATGTCATTTTTGTCAACTTATAAAACCAAGAGTATAATTAACATTTTGTACAATTTTTGGTGAAAATATTTATAATCTGTCTTTTCAAATATTCTAATGTTCTAATTCATGTTTTTTTTCTATATTTTTTATTTAATCAACCTCATTAATTAAAAGCACTTAAATATACTAAACTCTGTGTATGTTTATCAGCAAATGTCCATCTATGTGTGTGTGTGTGTGTGTGTGTGTGTGTGTGTGTGTAAAAATGTTAGCATAATTAATTCTAAGGTATATGTAGATAAGTGATGTTCTGTTTTTAAGATTTTATCAAGGTGACACCTTGTGAGAAAACATTCATTTACACCCTTCATCTACCAACTTTCAAATTTATAAACATTTCAAACTTGCAAAAATTAGCTAATCTAATCTTGAGTTATAGTAATTATACTCATTATTATATTCAGTAACACTATCTGTAGGGAAATTCTTATCTTATTACATATTTTGTTTTCATGATTCTATAACAATATTATTTACCAACTTTTGAAGTCTAATAAGAAGCAATATTTGATATTATCTGTAATAAGTTGGTACAATATTAACATGTTTAGATCCTAAAGCATGGATTTAAAAAATAAGCACTGGTTTGGTTATGCCCTAATATCAAAGTTATAAAAGCATACCAACATTTATAAAAATAGGCTACACCATTTGAAAGTTATTAAAGAGAGAAGTTTTATGATAGTTTTTCCTTATTTGTGCTACATTTTTTGTAGAAAAACAGTTGTAAGTTAACCTATTTGTACATATTCCCAAAGACCATTCCAGGAATGAAAACTGACTGAATAGTAACCAATTATTTCTGTACTGGTTTTATATACAGAGTTTTAAAATCACTCCTTTCAAAATTAGACTGAATCTATATTGGAGAAGAAATATTGACTATAATTTTGAATTTATTATGTGTATTTAAACTAAATATAGCAAGCTTTTACTAAAATGTATAAGTATGTTGTACACAAAAAAATCAGATGAGTTACGAAGGTATTTGTACTCAAAATACATCTATGAATTTATAATATCAGCCTGACTCAAACAAGTCAGAGTGGAAGGTGAAGAATAAAAACATTTTTGTCTGTCATTTATTTGCATGACCTCTAGAACCTCCAAAATGCTCATCTACAGTATGTTTCAGTATTCCTGTACATTGTATTTGATATCTACTCTCCTCTAATAGGAACTGTCACTAGATCAGCAATGTAAGATAAAATGAATAGTTCATAAGACTGACATGAAATACATAATATCATGGTGAATGGCACTCTATAAAAGGTCATGGCCTCAACACTTTGACTTCCATCTGTACACATAGGGTTAAACAGACTAAAGAGTGACAAACCTTCTAATAAATGAGGCAAGGAGTCTTTATGTTGAGTAAGAAACTCCTCATTCAGCTGTTGGGCTGTCTTAGAACCATACACTTTTTCCATCTCCTGTTTCAAGACTGTAGACACAGATTCTGCTAGATCAGTCTGTTGAGACACTGAAAAAATAAAGAATTACTGGTGTGATAAGAGATGTGATTGAAAAACAAACAAGTGTCTGGAAATTAGGGCAGAACAGTATTTTCCCCCTTTATTATTATTATATATATATCTGATAATAAAGGATCAAATTAAAGCTTCTTGCACATGAGAACAAGTATTACCTTCAACAATCTTAATACATTACTAAAGTAATTATATGTAATTGTACATCCCTTATTTAAATTTATTAGGTGAAGCATAACTATAAATAGGATATATAATTTTTAAAACAGTGCAACATTTACTCTCTGTCACACACATCCTCAATGCAACTACAGCTAAAAGAAGAATTATTTGAAAAACCAGTGGGACTTAATTAATATAGTTTACTGGAGAAATTACTTCAATGATAAGATGCATTTTGTCAGAATAATTTAATGCTGCCCTTATCCTGGTGTTCACTGTCAGTAATAATGATAATATGGTGGTGTGATTAAATTCAATTTAAGCAGTTCATTCAAGAAATGGATGTAAACATATTCACAGGATGGCTTCAACAGTGCAGTGCACAACCTCACACTACATACCAAGTACCTTCCTTCCCTGTCTGAAATAAAAACAAAAAAAAACAGGTCTGCTGAGAAAACTGTAACTAGACCTAAGCCACTGGGATAACTTTCTGTTTTTAAGTGGAACGTCAGAAGTTAAATGCAGAAACTCAACTAAAACATGAAGAGAAAAAAAAATGCTACAGTATGCTTGAATTTAATTTAGTCACCTTAATAAATTATTTACAAAACTAGTTTGCTAATTAGAAAGAATCTCAGCAAGAGGAAATAAATACATCTTATACTTTAAAGATTGACTGGTATAACATAGAAATCCAGTAAAATCATGTTCTTATCAAAGAGAAAACTGTGGCTTAATTCATTAAGACATATAGCAAGTAGGTTAGTTAAAGCAACAGCTTTGTAAGACATGACATGGCATTGAATCCTGCTTAGTCCACTTCATAAAAACAAATTATATTCTACAATAAATATATTAGCAAACTTTACGAAATATATGCAATAACTTTTTAACCCTACAATTACTGATAAGAAATAAATATGCTTTTTAAACACATTTTATAAGCTATTTATGCACCAAATTGCTTACAGGTCTATGACTTCATTGGTTACAGGATATCTCATAATATGTGGGTTACACAAGAAAATGTAAACAAAAATACAGTCAATATCACAATTAATCCCTATAATTACTGTTGGGATTCCTTATGTAGAAAATGAGTGCTTTCACCCAGTTTGCGTGGTCAGTTCTTTACTTTGAGTGTTGTAACAAGCAAAAATATCAAAATTATACAATATATGGACTCCAGTTAATAGTATAAAAACCAGTTAATAATTTGACAGTTATAAAAACCAGTAAATTGCTATTTCCTAAGAAAAAAATTACAACTTCAAATTCAAGATAGTGGATAAAGTTTGTTTCTTCAAACACAACAGGAGATTCAAGAATTGAAGTTTAAAGGTAATATTATATTTTTGTTTTTGAAATTGTTTTCTTTTCAACTGCAGAAAAACAAAATATCAGTAAATGTTAAAAAGTACATAAATCAAATTATGGATAGAGCATAAAAAAAGAGCACACAATTAGTAAGTTCAAAAATATATAAATTCAATTACGTATAGAGTAGAAAAATATATATACATAAAAATATCTTTTTTTAAAATGTTTGACCCACTTCTTTTAACATTTTTAACACAACTAAAGGTCAAGGAACTAAAATAATAACAATGATTCTACAAGATTAAATAGAAATCAAATTTACATTCATTCTACTAAATGCTCTTATATTATTAGCATTTTTAAAAAACTGGGAAAAATAATCACATACCCATACTATAAAAGCAGATAATATGACTATGGAGTTTAGGATGAGAGGGATTAAGTTTATATGCTCGTTTAATGGACTGTAGCATCAACAAGAGCTTGTTCTTGCGGGAGTAAATCTCAAAAGCTAACAGATGAGTTTCTATTCTGTCAGCTGCTAGCAACTGAAGGGGTTTTAAAAATTTGATGGCTTGTTCCAAAGGGTCTTCAACCTTTAAAAGAATATGAAATAAAACTATATATACTTCAATAAAACACAAATTTATAAATAATATCTATTAAAAACTGAGATTAAAATGATAATTGGTAAATACCAGTTCTTAAAAACATACACAGAAATTTTTAACGTAATAAATAACCTTAGCTAATTTGTCAGGAACCAATTCTTCTTCCTTCACATTGTCTACCTCTGTATCCTGCTGCTGACGAGATTTAATGTGTTGTTCCCGTTTTTCCTGAGCAGCATTCTGTTTTTCCTTTTCCAGCTCAGCCCGCTTCTGTGCCTTCCTCTGTTTGTTCCTCAGTTTCTTCAGCTCAGATGGAGCCATATTAGCTAAAGGACCAAGTAAAGAATTTTTTTTACTCACTTAGACAAAATTAGCAGTATAACTTTTCCCTACAGAATAAAACAATCC